ACGTAATCCACCCCCTTCCCGGTCAGACCCCCTACTCGGTCAGAAAAATTCCCCACCGCCGCGACCCACACTTATGGCAAGACAAACCGAGCACAATAACCACGACATATTTACTCCAAGAGACAAGTAACTCGATTTAGGACTATCTATTACACGTACGGGCAGTGTGTTCAAAAGACCTACATTTACTACACCGTGGTGGTGCACGCTGTCTTGGGACACTTAGCTTCTCTTCTATCTGTCGTTGGACCCGCTCCTCTTCTTCCCGCCGTCGCTTGGCCCGCTCATCTTCCTTTGCTCTCTGTTTCTTGACCCGCTCCTCTTCCTTTCTCGCCGTAGCTTGAACCATTCCTCGTTCTCTTGTCGCCGTCGCTCGGCCCGCTCTTCTTCTTCTTGTCGTCGCTTGGCCCGCTCGTCCTTCTCTCGCCGGCGCTTGGTCCTCTCCTCTTCCTCCACTCTCCGTCGCTTAACCCGCTCTTCTTCTTCTTCTCCGTCGCTTTATCCTAGCCGTGCCCTCTGCAACCGATAGAGTACCGCCGTCGCCAATGTATTCACGGCGCTTTTCTTTTCTCTGCTTTCGCCGCTGGTTTTCTGACCGAAGTTGCCGGTTTTCGTCGGCAAGGAGGGCGGCGCCATGCATGGCCATTTGACATCCTTTGATAAGCTGGTTGATAGATTGTGAGACTGGCGAGTCTGGATTTTGTGGCCGGCGTTGAAGAAGGCTTTCGGCGTGAGTGATAAGCTGGTTGACGTTATACGGAGTCTTGGCTGCTTCCAGGCTCTTGTTGGGGCTTGGGGTATTCTTGTCGCCGTGATCGTTACCAACTTTGTCAACCTGAACTTGTAACCGCGATAATACCTTGTTTGGGTCGAACGGAAAGAGGCCTGTTGCCATAAATCCGCTTCGGATATTCGACGGCGAAAGTGCTTGTCGGCGAGCCTCTAAGTATATAGGAAGGAAGTCCTGCTTGTCGATATGATGGATCCCAGCGAGCATTTTCTCTTGAACCTTCCGGCCATATATTGTTTTCAACGGCGAAAAGCACCCGACATCAAGGGGCTGCAAGAGATGTGAGGAATGTGCAGGCATTTGGAGTACCACAATGGAATTGGCCGTACAGTACTTGTCAAATTCCGGCGTGACGTGGCTACCGTGCCCGTCGAGAATAAGAAGTCGATGCGTACCAACCGTACGGCGCCGTGTATTCGGATCAAAGACTTCCTTTAGCCAATTCAAAGCAAGGTCGTCGGAAGTCCAGCCGTTCTCACTAACGGCGATATGCCAGTCATCGGGCACTCCTGATTCGTACCAGCTTGCTTGGTGTAACTTGCCCTGGAAGATAACCTTCGCCGGTAAAGCCCAACCTTGGCAATTGATAGACTCGATCACAGTAACCCATTCGCGATTTCCAGGCTGCGTGAGTATTGCCCGACCTCGCCGGTCAGACCGGGTAAGGACTCTCGCCGTTGTGGCGACTCCCATTTGAAACCCCTATCGCACGGAGGATGAGCAAGTGGGCATAAAGATCAGGGACTGGAAGACTCTTGATTCTGCTATCTAAGGTGGGAAAGAGGCGAGATCTTTATAGACTGCCTGAATATGAGAATGGAAGGGAATGGTAGTGAATGGAAGCATCTGATCAGATCATCTGGAAGCCACTGATGCGTTGATGATGCCTCCTAGAAGTTTCTGTGGGGAAATGTGGAAACGGACTGTGCGAATAGGGGGTCAGACTGTTGGAGGCTGATATCCTATGTGTGACATACCCCCCCAGGTTGTGCTGGCTAGTGGGCAGTGCAAACTGAAGAAAGAAACTAGATCCCTAGCAACGTAGAGATATCGACGAGACCGAGTTGTTTGACGAAAGTAGCAAATTTCTGGCCTGGCAGAGCTTTGGTGAGCGGGCTGAGCGCCGTGGCTGAGTCACTCGGACCGGGGTCCGGTGTCGGATATGGGTGCTGAATGTCATGAAACTCATCCTGATCATCCGAGTCCTCATGATCAGATGGTTCGGGCTGTACCACAATCGTGGTGGCGTCTCCTTGGTCTGAGGTTGAGGAGATTGCTCAACGGGGTCAGGTTCAGGTTCATCGATTTGAGTGGGGATTTCCTCGTAATCCGACTCGTCCTCGATGTGGGCTGGAAGCTGTACTTCCACGCGCTGTGGGATAGGTTCTGGTGGCTGATCATTTCCGTCATAGAAGATGCTTTCATTGAAGGTCACATCTCGGACCCTTCGGACTTCTGATGTGGACGGAATCCAGATCCTGAAAATGTTCGTGGAATCATATCCAACGAGATAACCGATTTCTGTGTGAGGGTCGGTCTTTAGGTCCTTCTTCTGTCTGTTCTGAAGGGCCTGGGGTGTCAAGGATAGGCTCTGCAGCCGTATGCCTTGAGAAACGTGATGTCAGGCTGGTCTTGCTGGTAGCCTATGTCTCTGTTGTTGTCTCGCAGCCACTGATGAAGCAGCTGGAAAGGCGTTCGGAAGCTGTGGTTCTGCATGGGCGATCTGTTGTGCAAAAACACTGCAGCTTTCCAAGTCTCTGGCCAAAGATCAGATGGTAAATTGGCATCAATTCCCATTGTTCTGGCCTGGGCAGATATTACCCCCCCAGATCGCTCTGCAGAACCGTTTTGAGCGGGAGTGTAAGGCAGAAGGTTCATCTTGAATCCCTTTCCTCGATCCAGCTCTCATACGCACTCTGAAGAGAACGATCGTTATCACGGTGGATAATGCAAATGTTGAGATTCCATTGGCGTTGAACCATTGCCTCGTGGTTTCTCAAAGCAGTCATAACGGACCCTTGTGTCGCGTCATTCAGAAGGTAGATGAAGATCATGCTTGTAAATTCATCTTTGATAAGAAGAACAGCTTCCTTGCCGTTGAATGAGGTGTTCATACTGAAGATATCAACGTAGATTCTCCAGAATGGTCTGGGGCCTCGGTTTTGAGGGGTTCGGCGAGAGACGACCTTCTTTCCCTTCCCAAGGGAACACGCGGTGCAATCGATGGTAACTGGGCCTTTGATCTTCGAACCCGTCGTGTTCTCAACAAGATGCTCTAGGCTTGAGCGTTCAAGTGACCTAGGCGCTTATGCCAAAGCGTAGCATCTGCTGTTTTCACTGTGCGAGGTGCAGATGAAGATGTGAAATTGGAGGCGTGAGAGTCCTCCTTAATCGGGTTGAACTCGATGACCGGTTGACGAAAGCGGCGTTTCGTATGAAATATAATCTGATCGTCTTTAGAGACGCGTCCAGATAGTGGATTCCAGTTGTATCCTTCGCAAGAAAGCGGTCGAGGGATGCGATGTTGGTGTGGAATTTTGGCACGAAGGCAACTTCGTTGAGCTGAAAAAGTCCTCCTTCTTCAAGCTTCATACGGACTGTGCCGTAGCCAAGGATCTGAAGTTGACTATCGCCTGCAAAGAGCTCTTTTGGCTCTGCAAGGGCGGTGTAGTCAAGAAAACGGGATCGGTTGTTGCAAATGTGTGTGTCTGATCCGGAATCAAGGATAAAGGAGTCATACAGCGGGTAGACTGCCTTTCCCGTCGAGAAACTGGTTGATGGAGGTGTTGAGGAGGCGGTGTGTTGTCAGGAGCTGGTAGAAGACCGGCAAACGCTGTGCCTTTAACGGAGGAGTCGGACGATTTCTCCATTTCCTTCTTCTTGAAGTCTTGTGCTTTCTCCGTCATCTTCTTTGCCCATGGATTGGAGTCGAGGATTTCCTTGATCTTCTTCTCAACCTTCTGATCAGGAGTCCAGCCATCAGGCCGAGCTGATTTGATGAGATAGAAGCAATCTACGAAGCGGTGATATTCTCCGCAGACACACATAGGAACACCATCAGCGTTCTTGCTTGAAGACCACTTAGGCTTGTCCTCTTCCTCTCCGATTTCTCTCCTTGCCTTGGAAGGCAGCTCCGAATGATCCTTTGCTGTTGTTGGCGGCCTTGATTCGGTGAGCTCGTTCAAAGATCTCACTGATCTTAATGCCGTCCGGGAAGTCGGTCTTCCAATCAGGCTTGCCGAATACGGCCTCGTCTTCCATTTTGTTGACCCAATAGTCTGTGAATGGGGCGTTGATGGACGAAACAGCCTGTAGGAAATCTTGGGTAGGGCGAAGGTCCTGGACATCAGGAAGCCCTAATTGCTTTGCCTCAGTGAGGACTTTCTGCCATTGGGTGACCCAAGCTTCGATCTTGGTCCTGTTTGGCGACTGAAGGGTGGAACGATAACGCTGAACAACTTCCTCTCGAGTGCCCAGTCGGTTGGGGCCACACGAGCCTGAAGCAAGGCAAGTTGCTTTGCAACGTCGTGTTCCTCGGCAATGGTGCTGTAGTAGTTGCCGATGGTCTTGACGATGTGTTGTTGAAGGCTGGCGAGTGCCTTCACTTGATCCCTATACCCTTGAAGCTTCGAGCGGTATTGGGTGTGGAGGAATTCGAGACGGCGAAATTCCTCCGAGGTCAGATCCACGAGATCAGATGCTTCGTGGTTGATTTGTCGGAATGTTGGTTCAACTGGCTGCTGAAGAACCGGCTTACCCTCCTTGACGGCAGGGTCCAGAAAGTCCCAAAGACTGTGGGACGTGGCGAATTTCTTGATGATAGAAATCCATTGTTTCCAGTCGCAAGGGCCGTTGAGCACGGTGCCCTTGGAAGAGCCATCAAGATCTAGAGCTGAGCTCATTGTGGAAGCTATTCTGCGCAGCGGAATGAACGAGAATAAGATACCCAGTCAATGGCAGACCGGGCTCATAACTATCGCACGGAGGATGAGCAAGTGGGCATAAAGATCAGGGACTGGAAGACTCTTGATTCTGCTATCTAAGGTGGGAAAGAGGCGAGATCTTTATAGACTGCCTGAATATGAGAATGGAAGGGAATGGTAGTGAATGGAAGCATCTGATCAGATCATCTGGAAGCCACTGATGCGTTGATGATGCCTCCTAGAAGTTTCTGTGGGGAAATGTGGAAACGGACTGTGCGAATAGGGGGTCAGACTGTTGGAGGCTGATATCCTATGTGTGACAACCCCGTCTCATCAAAGTTATAGACATCCTCGTCAAGAATCCCCCATTTCTGTTTCGTCGCCGCGACTCGATCGTACCATCCTTGGATCTTTTGGGGGTCTTCGCATTTGGCGCGTTGATAATCGTATCGGCGAGAGTACTTTGCCTTGATTTCGCCGTGGCGGCCAACAAACTTCCGCACCCAGTTCTCCCCGACAGGATCTTTGCCTCGCTCGGAAAGCAATAAGTTGGCCATCCGACGAGTGTAAGCCACTGTCGGCGGCATTCCTCGCTCGTCCATCGACAAGATCCATTGTACCAGGGCAGTCTCTTCCGTCGCCGTCAACTTTAGGTTGTTCACCTGAGCGTCGCGTCGGCGAATGACACCGCGCAGCCGATCAGATACTGTCGATTGAGGGACGTCGTATGCGGCCGCTGCCTTGCGGGTACTTTCGAATTGGCCCTGCTGATAGGCCCTGACGGCGAGCAGGACCCGTTCTTCGCGTGGAACCAATTGGTCTCCCGTCGCCGTCATTGTGCTCGGTTTGTCTTGCCATAAGTGTGGGTCGCGGCGGTGGGGAATTTTTCTGACCGAGTAGGGGGTCTGACCGGGAAGGGGGTGGATTACGTTATCCCAAAGCTCATCAATCCTTTGGCTTGCTAACCAGCTAACCTTGTGGTGCGACCGACACCCTTGACAGCTAGCAGCCAACATTTCTTCACCCTCGTGATAACGCTATAGGGTCAATACCGTTGCATTAAGGTGTCTTTCGCTCGTGACGACTTTGGTGATAGGAAGTTTTGCGAAAGCCCGTGTAATCGTATATCACTATCGCAAGTGTCAGCTGGCAAGCAAACCGACCACACAATGGCCAAACCGACCAACGAAGGAAGCTCGGTCAAGCAAGCTGACGATAGAAGCTCGCCACGCCCGGCTGAAGAAGATGATGCACCCCGGCTACCGGACGCAGTCCAGCAACGCCGCCCGAAGCGCAACAGAGTCTCTCTCAACCCCAAGGACAATCATTCGCAATTGGCAGACCAATTACAGCAGCTCCCAGAAGCTCTCAACGCGTGGAAATGGTCCATCCGATTCCTCAAGCTGATGCGAGACAAATCTAAGGAAGCTCTCGAACTTGACAAGATACGTGTTATCCATGATAAGGAGTTCCGGGTTACGCTTCCAGTCAGCAAGACAGTCAGAGTATATCCAGAATATCCTCCAGATCTTGCCATTAGGGCCACGGTCAACTGCAAAGAAGGCGACTTCCCCGTCGGCCTTTGCAGCGAGGAGTACGTCGAGGAACGCTTGTGTAGATGTAGTAGCGCCGTAGCGTTGAAGACGAAGCTGGCGCTGAATGTATCCTACATCACGATCGTTGATTAGGACCTCAGGATGGTCGCGTTGGGTAGCCTCGGCAATATCCTTCCGCATATTAGCTGCGTTGCTACTATAGGTCTCAACGAGACGGTATAGTCGTTCGATGCCAAATTTGCGTTGACTGCGTTGACGAATAAGGGCAGAGGCAGCCGGCGCGAAGAGAGGCTCGTGGCAGTGGGAATTGACCTTGAAAGTAACCCTGTACGACTGCGAAGGTTGGTGGAATCGGATGTTACTGTAAAACAGGCATCCTGACTTTTTGGTTGACGTTTTGTACTTGCCCTCATTCTCCTCCCAGGACCTATAGCTACCACTATACTGGCACCGAATGGTGGCTGCTTTACGCTTAGCCTTCCCGGAAGTCTTGCTTTTGCAACGTTAACGACGTAGCCTTGATCTTGCTGATCATTCCGAAGTGCCTCAAGAGCCTCGGCATATGTGCAAAAAGTGTGTCCTGGATAGATATAGGCTCAGGCCTTCGCCCTCGATCGTAGCCATCGTGGCGGAGGCGCGGCGGCGTTGGTATTGTGTTGAATGAGAGTGGTGATAGCTTCAAACGCTCCAAATCAAAGATATGCGGCGTAGGCAGTAGGAAGGGAGGCGCGCGTTGGGCCGCGGCAGCCATCGCGTTAGGAACGCGCGCGCCAAATTGTGGTGCGCGCCTACTCTTCCAAATGGGGTTTAAGTCTCCGTGCATGTTTCGAAATCGTCCGTGCATGTTTCGTTACTCCGAGATTATGGCGAAAAGTTTAAGAACAAAAATCGGCTATCTTTCGCATTTCCTAGGAGGGAAGACCGTGCACGACCCGATGAAATGGGCACCAGACAAGCAAGCAGTCAGAGCGACAATTAAGTTTGCGATGGCCACGAAAAGGCTCGACAGGGGCCAAACTCAATGACGCGAGCGGCAGCTGACAATGCTGACTAATCTTCACTAACATTATCCAGCTTCGCAAGGCGACAGACCATGCTTCAGCTGCCGAGGATAGGATGCTGAACATTTGGAGAAATTGGCCTTTAAGCAGGCTTGTCATGGAAGCATCGACCGAGGCTGGACAACGAGCGAACAGAATCGTGGGGCTCTGGGTGTCATGAAGCAATGTACTGTTACCGTAGATCACTTACTGCAGTGGCCGTCTAGGAGATTCCTCCGGGCGTAATACAAATAATAATAATAATAAAATAGTGCAACTGCCAGTGCGTAAAACTTACACTAAACAACGAGGAACCGTCAGTGTAGTAGAAAAGGCCCGCACTGAACCAGCAGTGTGGAGCAAATAAGCACACTACACTGGCAGTGCGCTGAACAGTCGGTCCACACTATTAGGAGCCCTGCTTGGGAGGCACTTGCAACATGCTTCTGCTGGGCAACAAAGGCGTCCCCTTGCTGTGTCGCATCATGGAAAACATACCGGTACATCATCGTTTGGACTCAATTGTGCCTGCCCTTATCCTTCCGCCCGCGCTCTAAGCTTGCTGAGCGTTACTCTAATTCAGGTGCCTGACTCGCAGGACTTGACTCGCACCGAAGTAAAGCACCGAAGTACCCAAGTACGAAGTACGAAAGTAATACACTGGTATAAATAGCAGGCCTTGTCTTCTATCCTTCGCCAGACTTCTTTCACGCCTCTCCCCTTGCTAGCCAAAAGATCGTCTCTATATCGACCCAAGCTTCCACGCGCTCGTCTTCTACTTTGTTCCAAATCAGGCAGCAGGCTTCGAATCAGTCAAACCCCAACCAGGGTTTGTGTCAAATCAGCGGGTGTCGGCCGTCTCTTGCGCCAGTGACCTGGCGATTAGATCGACGCGATCCCGACAGTCCTGCCTTGGTTCGAAATGGCGGCCAAGACCAAATTTTACAATCTGCTCTGGCGCGTCGGAGTCGGAGTCTGTATTATCGTTCTACTCGCGAACTTCCGACTCCATAGCGATCCTCCATCAAATATCGAGCACACATTATCCCATATCTCGACAAATCAAGATACGCAGCAAGCGACCGTCAACTCTCTCCAGGCATCTTCACTATCAACAACGAGTACTACCATTTCAAGCGTGCCTGGCACAATCCCCGGCATTCCGGGCAAGGTGTGGCAGTCAGCGAAAGACCGCAATTTCACCAATGACCAACAAACTATCATTGATAGCTGGCTGCAGAAGAATCCTAACTTCCGGTACGAGCTCCTGACCGACCAGTCCGCCGAGAATTACGTTATAGCGCGTTATAACGAGTCACGCCCCGATATCGTCGCCTTATACCTGGCACTGCCCATTGCCATTCTCAGAGCAGACTTGCTGCGCTATCTGATCTTGCTGTCTGAGGGGGGAATTTGGAGTGATATCGATGTTACCTGTGAGGTAGGCGTCGGTCACTGGCTGCCTGCTGAGATATATCACACCGCACCGAACATCAGCTTGATAGTTGGCCTCGAGTTCGATATCCCATCCGACGAGGCTCGCCCTGTTTACTCGCAACTAACGAATTGGGTATTTGCTGCTCGACCAGGCTCGTCGCACCTATTGTATGTCGTCAATTCCGTCGTCAAAGAGCTATATAATATCGCTACAGAGAACGGCGTCCCACCGAGCGGTATGGGGGAAAAGCTGAGTCGAATGGTGGACGACCGGGATATTGCTGGTATAAAGAAGCCGCGCTTTGTGGGCGACGTGCTAGTCATGCCAGGCGCTGCGTTTGCTGCGTTACAGAATGGATTTCCCCAGGATCAAGTGGAGCCACTTGTGAGCCATCATTATGCCGGCTCGTGGAAAGGTCCGGCGGATGAAGCAAGGGAGAAGCGCAAAAAGAACAAAGGAGAAGAGCGGAAGAAGGTGGAATAGTAGAAAGCCGAGACGAGAAGTAAAGAAGGGTCTTAAAGCTTTTTAGAGGCAAGGTCAAGTAGCCGGAAATGCCGCGCCCGTAAAATACGAGAAGTCCTTACTCGTCCCACAGACCCACGTAAAGTGGGTCCTCACCACCTGTCTGTGTCAACCACCTGGCTGTGTCACTTCACCGCTTCAAGCCTCTATCTTGACCTCAACAACGGCACATTATGAAGAATAAAGAGCTTACGCTTGAAAGGCGCGTAGCCGAGGCTATTAAAGCCATTGAGGCAAATCCCAATATGTCCCCGCGCTGCGGCTAAGGAATTTGGGGTTCCACGCGAACGACTCCGCTTGCGATTTCACGGCATCCAACCTCGCAGCGGCCATAAAGCAACGCATACGAGGCTATCGCCAGCTCAAGAGGACTCAATCGATCTGTATATCGATCGTCTTGAGCGTATAGGACTTGCGGTGCGGAAGGACTTACCATGCCCCACCCCTTTCGGTAACACCCACCTTTCGGTAGCGCAATTGAAAAATTCTCCACCAAAAGTCTACCATTTGAACTACATGAAATATGATCAGAACTTAACATTATAAACACAAAAATATCATTCCGTAGAGAAATGGACGCTCTTATATGTACCGGCGCTTTTTACCATTCGCCCGGATCTGGTGGTGACTGGAAGGGCTTCGGTGCCACCTTGACTTCGATCACTGAAGCTGTCTCCACCTCTGAGACCTCCTCCTCCTCTGTGTCAGAATTCAGCACAACGGCTATCTCTTGGCTTTTAATTTGGGAATGGCTTCCTCAGCCACCAAAGCTTCACTGAGAGTCATGAACCGTCTGTTCGGGTTCGGAATTGCTCTCCTCTTCTTGCCTCTCTGCAGCCGGGCCACTTCTTCCTCTAGCTTCGCGATTCTGTTGCTGTGCTCGGCAAGCGTCTGTTCTTGGGCTTCAAAGCCTCTAGCTATCACGGCGTATCGTCTCCGGGTGCCAGGAGTCTTGTTCTTTCCGAAATCGCGAATCTGGCGGCTGTTTCTTGGCGTATCATCAGAACCCAAAATGGCGCGGACTTTGGAGACGTCTCTACAATGTCTGCGTGAATTTCTGGGGCCGCAATGCCTTGGATCGTGAGATCGGCCAATTCCCAGTGACCCTCCAGCCGGACAATATATTCTTTGCCGTCATTCCAACCTCGCGCGCTTTAGCATATGCCCGTATAAAATTGACCTTATGAACAGGCGCAGAATCGGTCAAACAGGTCAATTTCTGAAGTTCTTTCGGTAAGCTGCCTTGGAGGCATTGAATACACCGTTATCTAACGGCTGGAGGCCATGAGAGCAGTGGTCAGGAAGGTAACAGCAATAAACGTTGTTCAAAAAGCATGTGGCCATCCATGCATGCTGGTCCCGGTTAACAGTAATTCCTACAGAGGTGGATAAAGAAACGCACCGTTGCATGACTTCCATGTCCATCTAATATGATCAGTCTAGCATCTGAGGCATCGGCTGGTCGCGTCTGGGGCAAATAGACCTCTCAAGCCACTCAATAGCGATATGGTTGTCCGTCCATCCGTTGGGCGACGTTATGTAATGCCAGTCGGCTATTTTGCCGAATTCCGTCAAGAACCACTGTTTCTGAAGTTCTTTGCCCTTGAAGATAATGCCAGGAGTAAGGACACGGCCGTCCGCGGTGATAGCTTCAATAAATGAGGTCCAGTTGCGGGACTGTGGCCCTTTCAGAAGGGCCTTCCGTTTTGGGTCTGCACTCCCAACCACAAGACTATCCAAACCTGGCAAAAGAGTCTGGTTAGTAAAAGTAATGAAAGACAAGCCAAATACTCACCAAAGCCAGACATAATACCGCCTTCGTCAACATTCACGGTATTTTCTGGTTTAATCCATCCATACTCCTTTTCCTGATATCGAAGAACCAGTGAACCGCACGAGGCGTAAAAGCATTAAATCGGTTAGCTTCCTGACGTCTCCACGCTTGTTCTTGATGTCCGGATGGCGATTGATGAATTTAGAGACCCAGTTGCGCCCCACTGTCCGCTCGTTGTTCAGTTGTTTCATAAGAGCCTCCACACATGCGCGGATCTGACTGTGGGAGGGAGCATAGCCGAGAGACTCTTGGCGGAGGATCCAAGAAACCAAGCGAGCTTCCTGAGACTTACTCAAGAGTTGACGAGGCTGGATCTGATCAGCCAGGGCTACCTGGCCTTTGAGTCTGTCGGAAATAGACTGCTGAGGTATGTCATACTTTTGGGCGGCGCGGTACTGCGACAAGCCGTTTTTTGTGACATCAATTATCGCATTAGCCATAATATCCTCCGTATAAATACCTGAGGCCGCTTTAAGGTCATTTTGGTCATGTGGTGGAGGAATAACGAGAAGAATCATCGTCAGGAGGCGGAAGGAGATTAGGGGTTGGATGGTAATTTCGCGTGCAAGGTACGCACAAGCCACAGACCCTGTACAAACATTCAACCATCGAAAAGTAGAATTCAATCAATCCTCTATCTACTCCAAGTGACGGCTTGTGAATATCTTCAAAGCTGGCTGGAATCGGTGTAAGTGAAATTGATGGTTTTTGGTGGGGATATTTTCTAATGCGCTACCGAAAGGTGGGTGTTACCGAAAGGGAGGTGGGGCATGGTAGTCGCCAAGGCCTTTGCTTTACGTACCTCACTGAGTCATGCAACGCACCACGTCATGCAACAAATTGCCCGACCGGCAAGCCAGAGCGAAAATTAATCCTGCAACCGACACAACCATTTAAAATACTATTAAACATTACAATATGTGAAACACTTCATACAGAGTCTATCTATATGATGGTTTTCTTAGGAAATATGAGCAGGCGGTCTTGTGGTCCGCCCAGACCTGAGAGACTGAGAAACCGGCCTCCATACTTCCCTGCGCTTCCGTCGAACGGGAGGTATGTCTTTACCCCTAAAGCTCCGGGACTGTGGTCTCGAGCCACTGAAGCTTCAGAACCAATCTTTACCCTTTCTTCCTCCGAGTTGTTGCGTGGTTGAATGCCCGTCGCGCAAACCCGCTTCCAACGCCCCTCGTTTTTCTCACCGCTACCATGTCTTTTGTGCCCTCTTACACCAGGCTTTGACGTAGCAGCTACCTCAAACTTGACTTCCCGAATAGCCTGGCGTTCAGCCTCGCGTGCAGACCTCTCTGCTTTTAATTTTGCTGCGGCCTCCCGTTTCTCAGCTCGCTTTGCCTCGCGCTCCGCAGCACGCTCTGTCTTCTCTCGAGAACGCTGCTCGCAAGGCCTGACGCATTGCAGCCCGCTGTTTTTCTTCTCGGCAGATTCTCGAGCCTTTCTTCACGTGATATGGCTACCTGGAGTCGACGATCTTCAATGGCTTGCTTGCGCTGCTCGTCGGCCTGTGCCTTGTCCGTCTGACGTCGCCGCGCCAGTTCCACCTTGGCTGGACTGAAAAAGACCGGCTGGCCACCACTTTCTTCCGGATTGAAAAGGCCCAAGGCCTTTCTGCGTTTCCCTTTTTTATGTGCAAGTTTGAGCGCTTCCTGTAGATCTCGATTTTCGTGTTGTACGAGCTCATATTGTGTCGCCAGTTTCTCTGATGCTCGGGAGAGCGCTGTGACTCGGGAGTCCATCAGCCCTTCCTTGCGGAGACGGCGGGTAATGCGCCGAATAGCCCGAAGAGAGCCTGAGTCTTCATCGCCCTTTCCTCAGATGCAGTTTGTGGGGTGTCACATCACTGCTGTGGCTAATCTTGGACAATACTTTGCCGGGGTCGAGTGGATGGATTCCTGTGGCCCGCCAACCAGCCTCGATATTTTTGGCCGTAAATGCCTGGTTCCACGCATCACGAAAGAGTGGCCAAAAATTCCGTTTGGTAAGGCGAATTAACCCCCATCCAATGGACATCAGCTGGTCGGAACCTTGAGCATAATAGGTGGAGAGTGCGGAAAACAGGCCAACATCGAGTGGTTGAAGCCGATGAGTTGAGTGCGATGGCAACACAGCAATGAGAATTCGATTCCGATCGGCATAGTCAATGAATTTCAGGTTAATGTGACTATTGTGACCGTCTAAAATTAAGAGACGGTAGGCACGACCAGCCTTTTGCTTCGTATGGCAGTCAAATATGCGCTGAAGCCAGTGTAAACCCAGTGCATCACAGCTCCAGCCGTTTTCCGTACTGGCGAAGAAGGCTACTTGCTGGAATGGTCAAAATCCTCAAGCCAAGTATCTTGAAAGTCTTTTGACTCCCCTTTGTAAATGAGGGCCGGTGGCAGGTACGAATAATCTGCACATATGGCAGCGATCAGCGTGATGAACTCCCGGTTCCCGTCTTGGCTTGCCCCGACCAGTTTTCCGCGCCTGAGGGCTTCTCGGGGACAACTCGCTTGGTGGAGCGAGAGAGACCAATTTGGAATCCTTCTCGTCAAAATTATAAACATTTGAGGGACTGATGTTGTACTTTTCGATCTTTTCGCGGAGCTAGTTGGATTCGGTCAGAAATGGCGACTTTACGGCATTTGACCGAGTATTGTCGGCAGTATACCCCTTGAAATGACGATAAAAAGCAGTCTTACTAGATTGAAGAAGTTTTGGAAATGCCTGGAATTATCAGCAGCCTTCCGCTGATGATCTATGGTGCGCAAATACAAGCTCGAAAGACGGTCATGGTGTCGCTTGCGGAAGCGGCTCACCCAGTTGACACCAAGTGGATGTCACAGGTCCGGCTTTGGTGGGCGGTCAGCGGATTACCCCGCAGATTACCGCCGATTACCCGCTTGCCCTTGACATCACCTCTGCCGGGTTGATGTCATCTTCGGAGCGCCATAAAGCGCGAAAGCCGGGACCGACGACGAGAAACCAGTTCGACTGGATAGCCTGCGTTTGTGCGATCAGAATGCACCCTGTCTAAGGTCCTACATCCTGTCGGTTGCGAGGTTGCGGTGATTTGAAGCATTTTCTAGCCTTGACGCACTGGAGCTACAGCGGCGCTTAGCGGATGCATACCCTGTCTACAGGCCACTACCGCTGACTGTAGCGACGCAGCCCTGACGGCCTGGGGCACTTTCGCCGCCAAGGTCCTCGTCATTCTATCAGACGGGTGTTCAAAATCACTGCGCCATCGACTTTTCGCTACCACCGACGTTGAATTGCCCCGACGCACGTTTGTGTCCCTTTTTCGCCTTGCCTGTCCTTTCGGATGGCCTTGAACAACTTATCCAAAGAGCTGGGTCCACGTTCTTCGTCCATTTGCCTCGCCACGATATCTTCAGTTAAGCCGTCCGACTGGGCCCGCCTCCGAACCTCATCGACGATGATCTTGCGCGTGGAAAGGTAATTCTTCTCTGCAGATGGCCGCCATCGAGCACCCCAGTCTCGCTCAAGAGAATCCACAGAAGGCATTTCGCCCCAGCCCTGCCGCCAGAGACGCAGCAGCTCCTGTACAGATTTGACAGAACGGGGGAGCTTGAAGCTCGGATGTTCGCGCGGCCCAGGCGGCTCGCCATGCGCTCTTCCCTGGGGGGCTTGCCCCTGGCCCGCTTGCACCATTCCCTGCTGCTGCTCTAGAGAGAGCGGAGCGTATGTCGGACCGCCCGCTTGCGAAGGGCCTATCTCGGACCTGAGGACCGTCTCTCGTGGAGCGCGGCGCCTCTGTTGATGAGCTCCCGCGATCTCCGCATGTTGACCTGCAGCACCTTGGCCGGGGCTGAAGGTGACGGTGTAGGTCGCCTGCGCAAACTCATCCAACTTTGTGCATAGTTCGTAAGAAGCCCCCAAAAGGTCTAGATGTCTTCGCTCAGCTAACTGCTCGGCTGCGACCTGTTGAGTCAGTACTGTGCGCAGCTTCTCCGCAACCACCGGCATCGCTTTTTGAATGACCGTGGTATGGCTGTCTTCGTGGTCCCGTGTGCATGTGTCTTGAACTTTGCTGGCGAACGCTTCAAACTCGGGGCAAGAGAAGACCGGATCCTGGAAGATAGGATGGTCGGGGTAGGACTCGCGAAGGAAGACAGCGTCCTGCAGGAGCACCTCTCGAAGCCACTCCAGGAGTTCCAAGAAGGCGCCGGCGGCCATGTTCTGCTCCACCCCAGATCTGAGAAAGGGCTACTGTGGGCCTCTTTCCATTTGTCGAGTTGAGGCCAGACCTGCACGAGTAGCACCACAGGCGGCCTTACGGTGGCCCGGGGCACGAAATAAGACCCCGACCATTCAGGGTCAAAGTCGGCCACGGCCCTCATGAATTCGAAAGGCAGGGAAGTCAGATAGCAGCCGGTCATCTGGTCTCCGTTATTCCAACGACCGGCTCGGCGGATCTGTATAGTTCGGGTCAGCCCAGGCCAGGGGGTTGGCGGCTTGCCTAGGGCAGATGACATGCCTGGCCTTCATCCACTCCGGCCATGTCGGCGTTTTGCGTCGCGGCCACTCTAGGCGCGTGGCTGACCTTGGAGACCTTGATGCCGGCCTTCTTGTAGAACCTGGACGTCCATTCTCGGGCAGTCTGGCCCGACAACGGAGCTGTATATTCGGTGAGTGAAAGGGTCGATGCACCCTCTGAGTTATGGGATTCCGGTGAATGCCATCACGCTTACCTTGAGGCTCTTTCGCCGATCGGCGGAGCACCTTCGTTTCATACCAGTCTTCGCTTCTTTGGAAGACGGAAACCTTTCCGCCTTTCTACCTGCCAGCGCCAGAAAAGCCAGAACGCGAGGGCGCCGATGAGACAAGACCTGGGATCTCGATGCCGCAGAGCAGATCCATACTCCATGCGGCCGTGCTGGTTGGTCTTCCCACAGTTCATCACGACAACCAGCGCCTTCGTGGTATACCCTGGGCCTTGAAGCCCTCGTTGGGTAAGTCCAGGGGAAAGCAGTCTGCCAACTCCATCGGCAGGCGGTTGCCGGACCGCAGCAGCATGTGGTTCCCGAGCAGAAAGTCCACCTGCGTCCTCAGGGCGCAGGCGATCTCTTTCCTCTCGGACCATGCCACGTTGGTGTGGTCGGGTATCTGCGCCGGCGCATACACATCTCTCAGAGTTCCAACTCCCCTGTCCATGTATTCCTTCCTCTTCCGGCTCCAAGTCGTTGCAAGAATGCTGCGTTTGAGCGCCTTCAGTGCCACTCCTGTGGCCGGGCCGCAGGATTGACTCCCGGCTCTTCTGCTCGTCGTAAAGCTTCTGTATGGCCGAGACGTAGCCCGTACAGTATTATACTGTAGTTTGAGCGTGGACTCATACAACTCCAAGTCGGAGTCTGACTCGTATTCGCTACCTCCGCCGCCTACAACGATGGTATCTGCTGGGGGAAGCTGGGTGTTAGTATGATGGGCTGGCTCAGTCCGACGACCACATCCCGTGATCAACATCTGTTACCTGATGGTGCTCTGCGTCTTTTCACGGCCCTCTTGGCTTCCTGAGCCTCGAGGTGTCGTTTTCTTTCATCGGCGACCCTCTTTCCTTTCTTTGGAGGACGTGATGCCACTACCTCCTTCATGAAGAGCAAGAGCTTTCCTTCATCGACCAGGTCTCCCGGTAGCTGTTGGCCCTGTGGTACCGAGGCCGGCCAAACGTCCGGGATCGCAGGCCAGTTGGCTTGACACCACTCCTGTGAGGCGGTCAATGCATGGATCTACATGAAGATTGCAGGGCGCGCATGCGGGCTTGCCTTCCATTCTTCCTGCTTGGGACGATAATTTCGCTTCGTATTCTTCGGCTGGGTGTTCTCCAGATCTAACAGGTAGTGCTCAATGGCCGCCCTGACCCGGGGATCCTCTATCGCGTTTGACATGGTGCAGGCGGTCGCCGTCGCGACGGTGGCAATGGAGGGGGGGGAGGAGGAGGTGGGAGGAGGGAGGTGGAGCGCAACGCGCGTGAGCGAGACCGAAATCGAAGGTCTCGCGCAGGGCCCCGCGGGCGTGGACCTTCGATTTTGCCGTCCGATGGCGGTAATCCGACTAAGAAAACGCCAGCCCCGCAGGGCCGGGCCTTGGAAAACGACATGGTTTTGCATGGGGCGGGGCGGTAATCCGATTACCGGATGACCGGTCGGCCGGCCCCGGGACCTGTGACACCAACGCGTATCCAGAGCCATGGAACCAGAGTGCGTCGGCTCGGAATGCGCCACAGTGTGTGCTGCTCCCGTTATCATCACCTGCTCCTCCATTGACATCAGTTCTAGGCGGCTCCGCCGACGTTACCGCATCGGGTGCCAATCCCGACCACTCCCGGCCGATCGCGTCCGACTGTTGACAACATTTCTACCCATTTGACGCACGTCAGCTCTGCAACTACGTCCTCTCGCAAAAAGGTGGTCGCCATGGCGCAAGCCGAGTCGTCAGGGAAAGCGAAGGTTGCGCAGCCAGTCGCCGTCGCGGTTCCGCCATACCACGTCCGACTCGGATACTGATGACTGCGACTGGGACGTGATCGACTCTTCTGGTCCGCTTGATGCAGCTCTGTTGAGTGGTCAAGACGTCGACTCGCAGCGACCGAGTCCAACGTTGGCCGAGGCCCCCCTACCTGTCGAGTCTCACGCGAACCAACAAGAAACCACCCCCCCCGGCCGGAACGACTTGTTGATGACGGCGAACCCAAGCTATGCAAGGAGCAGCAGAATCTGGTCGACCTGATTGCCAGCGGTCGTAACGTCTTCTACACGGGCTCGGCAGGTTGTGGCAAGTCGACGGTGTTGAAGGCTGCTCTAAAGAGACTCCGGGCCATGGGCATGGTCGTCGACGTCTTGGCTCCCACCGGCCGAGCCGCCCTTCAGGTCAATGGTGTGTCGACGTGGTCCTATATGGGATGGACGCCCGACCATCATAAGCTTCCGTTAGATAAACTCAAGACTCTGGCCTTCCGAAAGCATGTCCGGCAGCGTCTCAGGCACACCGATGTACTCATCATCGATGAGATCAGCATGGTCGAGAATCATCACCTGCAGCGCATTAATGTTTGCATGAAGGAGGTGAGGCGCTGGAAAGACGATGATCCGCCTGCATTCGGTGGAGTCCAGGTCGTTGTCACCGGCGACTTCTGCCAACTCCCCCCCCGGTGAAGCCTTTCCAGCATTGCATCGAGTGCGGGCACGAGATGGAAGCCGATGCAAGCAAAACTGAATTCAATTGCCCAGCCGACGAGAATCATGGGCCATTCCACGAGCATGAAAAGTGGGCTTTCATGAGTGATGCATGGGGTCAATGTGACTTTACGCACGTGCACTTGACACAAATTCATCGGCGGAACGATAAACACTTGTCACACATAGGATATCAGCCTCCAACAGTCTGACCCCCTATTCGCACAGTCCGTTTCCACATTTCCCCACAGAAACTTCTAGGAGGCATCATCAACGCATCAGTGGCTTCCAGATGATCCGATCAGATGCTTCTATTCACTACCATTCCCTTCCATTCTCATATTCAGGCAGTCTATAAAGATCTCGCCTCTTTCCCACCTTAAATAGCAGAATCAAGAGTCTTCCAGTCCCTGATCTTTATGCCCACTTGCTCATCCTCCGTGCGATAGTTATGAGCCCGGTCTGCCATTGACTGGGTATCTTATTCTCGTTCATTCCGCTGCGCAGAATAGCTTCCACAATGAGCTCAGCTCTAGATCTTGATGGCTCTTCCAAGGGCACCGTGCTCAACGGCCCTTGCGACTGGAAACAATGGATTTCTATCATCAAGAAATTCGCCACGTCCCACAGTCTTTGGGACTTTCTGGACCCTGCCGTCAAGGAGGGTAAGCCGGTTCTTCAGCAGCCAGTTGAACCAACATTCCGACAAATCAACCACGAAGCATCTGATCTCGTGGATCTGACCTCGGAGGAATTTCGCCGTCTCGAATTCCTCCACACCCAATACCGCTCGAAGCTTCAAGGGTATAGGGATCAAGTGAAGGCACTCGCCAGCCTTCAACAACACATCGTCAAGACCATCGGCAACTACTACAGCACCATTGCCGAGGAACACGACGTTGCAAAGCAACTTGCCTTGCTTCAGGCTCGTGTGGCCCCAACCGACTGGGCACTCGAGAGGAAGTTGTTCAGCGTTATCGTTCCACCCTTCAGTCGCCAAACAGGACCAAGATCGAAGCTTGGGTCACCCAATGGCAGAAAGTCCTCACTGAGGCAAAGCAATTAGGGCTTCCTGATGTCCAGGACCTTCGCCCTACCCAAGATTTCCTACAGGCTGTTTCGTCCATCAACGCCCCATTCACAGACTATTGGGTCAACAAAATGGAAGACGAGGCCGTATTCGGCAAGCCTGATTGGAAGACCGACTTCCCGGACGGCATTAAGATCAGTGAGATCTTTGAACGAGCTCACCGAATCAAGGCCGCCAACAACAGCAAAGGATCATTCGGAGCTGCCTTCCAAGGCAAGGGAGAGAAATCGGAGAGGGAGAGGACAAGCCTAAGTGGTCTTCAAGCAAGAACGCTGATGGTGTTCCTATGTGTGTCTGCGGAGAATATCACCGCTTCGTAGATTGCTTCTATCTCATCAAATCAGCTCGGCCTGATGGCTGGACTCCTGATCAGAAGGTTGAGAAGAAGATCAAGGAAATCCTCGACTCCAATCCATGGGCAAAGAAGATGACGGAGAAAGCACAAGACTTCAAGAAGAAGGAAATGGAGAAATCGTCCGACTCCTCCGTTAAAGGCACAGCGTTTGCCGGTCTTCTACCAGCTCCTGACAACACACCGCCTCCCTCAACACCTCCATCAACCAGTTTCTCGACGGGAAAGGCAGTCTACCCGCTGTATGACTCCTTTATCCTTGATTCCGGATCAGACACACACATTTGCAACAACCGATCCCGTTTTCTTGACTACACCGCCCTTGCAGAGCCAGAAGAGCTCTTTGCAGGCGATAGTCAACTTCAGATCCTTGGCTACGGCACAGTCCGTATGAAGCTTGAAGAAGGAGGACTTTTTCAGCTCAACGAAGTTGCCTTCGTGCCAAAATTCCACACCAACATCGCATCCTCGACCGCTTTCTTGCGAAGGATACAACTGGAATCCACTATCTGGACGCGTCTCTAAAGACGATCAGATTATATTTCATACGAAACGCCGCTTTCGTCAACCGGTCATCGAGTTCAACCCGATTAAGGAGGACTCTCACGCCTCCAACTTCACATCTTCATCTGCACCTCGCGCAGTGAAAACAGCAGATGCTACGCTTTGGCATAAGCGCCTAGGTCACTTGAACGCTCAAGCCCTAGAGCATCTTGTTGAGAACACGACGGGTTCGAAGATCAAAGGCCCAGTTACCATCGATTGCACCGCGTGTTCCCTTGGGAAGGGAAGAAGGTCGTCTCTCGCCGAACCCCTCAAAACCGAGCCCCAGACCATTCTGGAGAATCTACGTTGATATCTTCAGTATGAACACCTCATTCAACGGCAAGGAAGCTGTTCTTCTTATCAAAGATGAATTTACAAGCATGATCTTCATCTACCTTCTGAATGACGCGACACAAGGGTCCGTTATGACTGCTTTGAGAAACCACGAGGCAATGGTTCAACGCCAATGGAATCTCAACATTTGCATTATCCACCGTGATAACGATCGTTCTCTTCAGAGTGCGTATGAGAGCTGGATCGAGGAAAAGGGATTCAAGATGAACCTTCTGCCCCTTACACTCCCGCTCAAAACGGTTCTGCAGAGCGATCTGGGGTAATATCTGCCCAGGCCAGAACAATGGGAATTGATGCCAATTTACCATCTGATCTTTGGCCAGAGACTTGGAAAGCTGCAGTGTTTTTGCACAACAGATCGCCCATGCAGAACCACAGCTTCGAACGCCTTTCCAGCTGCTTCATCAGTGGCTGCGAGACAACAACAGAGACATAGGCTACCAGCAAGACCAGCCTGACATCACGTTTCTCAAGGCATACGGCTGCAGAGCCTATCCCTTGACACCCCAGGCCCTTCAGAACAGACAGAAGAAGGACCTAAAGACCGACCTCACACAGAAATCGGTTATCTCGTTGGATATGATTCCACGAACATTTTCAGGATCTGGATTCCGTCCACATCAGAAGTCCGAAGGGTCCGAGATGTGACCTTCAATGAAAGCATCTTCTATGACGGAAATGATCAGCCACCAGAACCTATCCCACAGCGCGTGGAAGTACAGCTTCCAGCCCACATCGAGGACGAGTCGGATTACGAGGAAATCCCCACTCAAATCGATGAACCTGAACCTGACCCCGTTGAGCAATCTCCCTCAACCTCAGACCAAGGAGACGCCACCACGATTGTGGTACAACCCGAACCATCTGATCATGAGGACTCGGATGATCAGGATGAGTTTCATGACATTCAGCACCCATATCCGACACCGGACCCCGGTCCGAGTGACTCTCAGCCACGGCGCTCAGCCCGCACTCCAAAGCCTCGCAAGCTCAGTGCTTTTTCGACCAACACTAAGGGTCAATTCCACAGCTCTTTCTTTCTCGGCAGAGAAGAAAAACTTCACAGACGACACCTTCCTCCCGAACCTACGACGTATAAGGAACTTCGCACCCACAGATTTGGTCCTCAGTTCAGAGAAGGAGCCCACGCCGAGTGGAAAGCACTCCAACAGAGAGGAACCTTCAGAGCGGTCCCCAGAGACCAGGTCACGGGCAAGCTTTGCCACTTACCTGGGTCTTTAAGTATAAGTTCGACAAGCATGGCTTTCTTACAAAGTTCAAAGCCCGTCTTTGTGTTCGAGGAGATCTTCAACAGCTAGGTGACAAGGACACCTATGCAGCAACCCTTGCAGGACGTTCTTTCCGGATTCTCATGGCCATCACCGCCAAATTCGACCTTGAGACCCGACAGCTCGACGCAGTTAATGCCTTCACAAACGCCCTCTTAGAAGACGAGGAGGAGGTCTATGTAGCCTTCCCAGACGGATACTACAGACAGGGATGGGCTCTTCGCCTCATGCGAGCCCTCTATGGCCTCCGACGGTCCCCTCTTCTTTGGCAGAAGGAACTCACTGCTGCATTCAGAGAGCTTGGTCTTACACAGTGTCCCGACGAACCCTGCATCTTCCAGAACGACTGGCTCACTGTTTTCTTCTTCGTTGACGATATTGTTTTCCTCTATCGCAAGGAAAACGAGGACGCAGCTGATGAGATGGTTGCAGCCCTCAAGAGGAAGTACGCGATGACAGACCAAGGGAATTACAATGGTTCCTTGGTATCAGACTCTACGTTGCTAGGGATCTAGTTTCTTTCTTCAGTTTGCACTGCCCACTAGCCAGCACAACCTGGGGTATGTCACACATAGGATATCAGCCTCCAACAGTCTGACCCCTATTCGCACAGTCCGTTTCCACATTTCCCACAGAAACTTCTAGGAGGCATCATCAACGCATCAGTGGCTTCCAGATGATCTGATCAGATGCTTCCATTCACTACCATTCCCTTCCATTCTCATATTCAGGCAGTCTATAAAGATCTCGCCTCTTTCCCACCTTAGATAGCAGAATCAAGAGTCTTCCAGTCCCTGATCTTTATGCCCACTTGCTCATCCTCCGTGCGATAGTCCTTACTCGGTCTGACCGGCGAGGTCGGCCTATGGTCACGCAGCCAGGAAATCGAGAATGGGTTACGGTGATTGAGTCTATCAATTGCCAAGGTTGGGCTTTGCCGGCGATGGTCATCTTCCAGGGCAAGGCGCACCAAGTGTCACGGGCTGTGCCCGGCTGGTGGACCCGGTTGTACCGGGTCCGGTGGGTCGTGCTCCGGTGGCAACACCGGCCCCGCTCCGCGGACCCGGAAGCTGCGAGAACATTCCGTGAAGGGCAATATAAGCTCGCACTCGAGGCGTGGCCTCGAGTTCAGCTTCTTTTCCTCCTTAGCTCTAGATAGACAACACCTAGGCACCTGCTAGTTGAATAAACTCCGGGCCATCGAATCGTAGCCTAGTTGGTCAGGCTCGAGATCGTGGAAGTCGACTGCCAGGCGCTCGCCTGGTGGCGGCGTTCTCGTGGCTCCTTCGAATTTGTCGTTTCAATTTGGCCGTGCCGCAGTCATCACATCCTGTGGTGGTGATGCCTTTGATGCGGACGCCTCTTGAGCAGTTGACAAGGTGCTCCAGGGTTCTTGGACCTGGATGCCCAAGGCGGAGATGCCAGAGCTCTGCGGTCGCGGTCTGTGGGTGGCGTTTGGTGATGGAGCTGAATTTGTTGCGTCGGGCGAAGAACGCTCTCCTTGACACATCGTAAGGAATGTGCTCCAGCACGAATTGCCCATGCTCTTCTTGGACGAAGGCGAGGATGCGTCTATCGGCTGCTCGAAGGCATGATCGCTGGCCGGGGGATTCGTCCCACCAAACGCCCTGCCTTTTTAGGTGTTTGTAGGAGATGAGGTTGCATGCAAAGTTTTCACAGTAGGCGGCATCGGTTAAACGCAGCAGACGAGGTCCTCGAGGGTCCTCGACTTCCACGTCCACGTCGCCATAGCCTTGGATTGGCACCTTGCTTTCTCCTGCCCAAAGGAAGTCTCCAGGGGTTGCTCTTCTAAAGTGGGTGAAGCGAGAAATCTCGTTGAAGATGTCGATGGTGGACCCAGAGTCAAGCAGGGCGGAGTGGCATAGAGGGTAGTTATCAACGGCAAAAGCTGCCTTTGTGTCCGCTCGAGCGATGAAGAAAGAAGCTAGAGAGCACTTTCCCATCGCTCTTAGGAGTCAGTCCTGATCCTCATGCTTCTCTCCGTCTCTGCGTTGCTCTTGTCGCTTCCCCCTTTGCTCTTTTGATCTCTTCTGCGATGGACTCGTCTTTGAGGTTTTTCTTGATTGTGTCCGAGGGCTTCCACCACTCGGCAGCTCTATCCGGGAAGATTCCCCAGCAAAAGTCAAGGCGGACGAATATGGCGGCTAGATTTCGGGGTGTCGTCAGAGTCCAAAAACGGCCTATGTTCCGGGGATGCCGTAACTTTGTCTCCTTGGATCTCAGGATGCCCCAACGCCTTGGCCCTTGGAACGCGAGATTGGCCAATTTCCAGTGGTTCTCCAACCGGACAAGATGTTTCTTGTTGTCATTCCCGTTTGACGTGCCGTGGCATACGCACGTATAAAATTGACCTTGTCAACAGGTGTGGAATCCGTCAAAGAAGCCAGTCTGTCAAGCTCCTTCCGGTAGGCTGTCTTTATAGCATTGAAAACACCGTTGTCTAATGGCTGGAGGCCATGAGAACAGTGAGATGGAAGATAACAACAGTAGACATTGTTCAGAAAGCACGTAGCCATCCACTTATTCTGTCGTCAAATCAGCAGGGCCTCATCGCCGTAAAAACGAAGTACGAACCGTTGCATGACTCCCATGTCCATCCAGAATGATAAGCCTGGCCTCAGAGTCGTCGTCAGGTCGCGTCTGAGGCAAATAGACTTCCTCAAGCCATTCGACGGCAATGTGGTTGTCCGTCCATCCATTTGGTGAAGTTATGTAGTTCCAATCCGCAAATTCTCGAAACTCGTCCTTAAACCACTGTGCCTGGAGATCTTTGCCCTTAAATATGATGCCAGGAGTCAAGGCGCGCCCGTCGGCGCCAGGGTGGCAAACCACTCAATCCCAGCAACGGTTGCTCAATATAGTTGAGCAACCGTCAACTCAATCAACTCAATCGAGTGTCTGCTGAATAAGCTTGTCAATTCAATTCATGCTCCCGTTGATTGATGGATTGATGAGATTGCCGTTGACGGTCAGGGATCCTGTAGGGTAGGTGGCCAAGGCGAAATGTAGGTACGGATTGGGTATATAGCTACCACTAACCTTACAGGTTACTCAGGCCCGTTGTAGGTAAGCCTCCTCTCCTCTTCGGGGAACAGGGCCCCCTGTTCCGTTGGAAGAGTCGACGCGCTGCGCGCATCGACGCGCTTCACAACAAAGTTCAATCTCTCGCCTCAGTTCCACTTCCACTTCTCGATTCTTCCACAACGCCTTGGCTGATCTAAACATTCCTATATGCAATGAGCGAATCTCCTGAGCCTTCTTCTACTCCCTTGCCGCCATCAGGCGATTCGGGCGACTCAGGCCCCGTTCCCCATCTCGAGTGGGATGCCTTCCCTGGCATCACTTCCGCGGCTATACCAAGTCTCAACGCGCCGGCAAGCTCAAATCGTGGATCTGGAGCTTTGGGTTCGACATTGAACATCAAGCTAACGTAGATAATCGCCTCTGGGTCTGTGAGCGGTGTTTACCGAAGAAATCGCCGAAGGGACCCGTGAGCTTCGCGGCAAAGGGGACCCTAAACATTGAGCGCCATCTACATGATGCTCACAATGTTATTGACCCATCAGGTAGACGGTTACCGAAGGGTTCTACAACCAACAAGCGTTCTATTGCCCAATTCTTCAACCTCGATGCCAATGACCAGAAGGAGCAAGCATTCATTAACAAGCTAAAAAACCAATTCGATAAAGATGTCTTCCAATCTCTCTTGCTTGCTTGGATCACCGAGTCGAATGTTGCCTTCCGCGCAGTTGAAGCCCCTCGATTCCGGCGTCTTCTCGAATACCTCAATCCCTCGATCGCCCTGACTCAAGCCCACATGACACACTCGACTATTCGAACGAAGCTTTTCCAAGAATACCACCAGTACAAGCATATTGTGATAAAGGAACTGAGGAGCGCCCGGGCAGATACACCTTGCGTTTGACGGCTGGAGATCGCCCAATCGCTATGCGCTTAATGGGATTGCTGCGTTCTATCTCTCTAGGAAAAGCGGCCACAGAAGATCATCCTTGGGCTCCTGAACTCCGAGAGTCTCATACTGGCGAGAATATAGCGTCGCAGGTGGCGGAAGTGATCGAATCATTCGAGATTCAAGACAAGATCGGGTATTTCACGCTTGACAATGCGAAGAATAACGATACGGCGGTAGCAGCACTGGGACACGTTTTTAATTTTGAAGGGAAGCAGAGACGGGTCCGCTGCTTTGGGCATATCATCAATCTCGTGGCCAAAGCGCTGCTCTTTGGCAAAGATAATGAAGTCTTCAAATCAGAAGAGCGACTCGACCTGGACCTTGCTCGACATGATCTCTGGCGGAAGAGGGGGCCTATTGGCAAGCTCCACAACCTTGTCCACTGGATTCATCAATCGGATAGGTTAACGTACATGCTTCGGGATCTACAACGCAAGAGGACAGTACGAAGAAACCAGTTGACGTTGTAACGGATAACATGACACGATGGTTGTCCCATTATAAGATGATGGATCGAGCCCTTCTACTGCACGACTTTCTTGACGACCTCGTCGCATTGGAACAGTTCGAATATACCCGAAGCAGGTCAAAGAAGAAAGACATGCCTGCATGCCTCCGAGATTCTGACCTGCTGACCGGTAACGACTGGACAGTGATCAGCCACTTTCGGAATATTCTTAAGCACTTCGAAAATGCCATCAAGGCCCTCGAGGGAGATGCCCAGATTCGGGTGCGTAAGGGCGGCAACCTCGTGGCATACGGAACAGCATGGGATATTATCCAAGCATTCGAATATCTCCTTGAACGATTGGAAGAGGCAAAGGAATTCGCCAAGGATGTGCCTGATTCCGAGCATTTCGCGATAAACGTCGAATTGGGGTGGAAGAAGTTGGAGAAATACTATATCAAGTTGGTTGAGTGCCCGGTATATTATGCTGCAGTCGCTCTCCATCCCGCCTTGCGACTGCAATGGTTTGAGGAGGCTTGGGCTCATCGACCTGAATGGGTCCTTGAGGCACGACGGATTGTTCGGGGCATCTGGGAACGCGACTATAAGTCATTAATTCTCAGCGATGACGAGGCTATTCCGATGGTTAAACGTCGAAAGGTTGACGACTTGAACGAGTTCCAACAGTTCCGACTGAGGCACCGGCTACAAGCTGGTCAGACGGCCACAACCCGTCGTGGGCCACCTACTGCCGATGAATTCGATCGCTGGACTGTTGATATCGGCGCAGATGACGGAGACATCACGGATCCGTTCCAATACTGGCAACTCAAAGAGTCAACGTATCCCAGACTTGCTCGAATGGCCTTTGATATGCTATCTATACCGCCAATGTCAGCAGAGTGCGAGAGGGCGTTCTCATTTGCTGGGCTAATGGTCACACGACTACGCAGCCGGCTTCAGGCTAACACGATCAATGCAGGCCAGGCAATTCGGTCTTGGCTGAAGGCAGGGCTAATACCCGACTACCAGGGGATTATTGATGCTTCAGTCGATGACGATGTCTTCCCCGAAGAGGTGCCCCACGAAGGACGAGAAGTTGATGGTGTTGAGGACCTTAAGTAGCTTACTAATAGGTAGGGTAGGGCATCAACTCCGTCAATCAACGCAATCAATTCAACGAGGGCTTGGATTGCTCAACTCAACGAGAGGTTCGCTGATGTAAGCCGTCAATCTACTCAATTTGACTCTTTGGTTGAGTTGATTGAGTGGTTTGCCACCCTGGTCGGCGGTGATGGCCTCTATAAAAGTGGTCCAGCTGCGGGACTGTGGTCCCTTGAGAAGAGTCTTCCGTTTAGGGTCCGAACTTCCAACCACCAGACTGTCCAGACCTAGCAAAGAAATTGTATTAGCTTATATCGCCTATGGAGAGTTGATTGCAAACCAAAACCCGACATAATCCCCCCTTCATCAACATTCACCGTGTTCTCCGGCTTGATCCACCCGTACTCCTTCTCCCTGACGTCAAAGTACCAGTGCACTGCTTTGGGAGTAAATGAGTCGAATCTGTTGGCTTCCTGACGCCTACCGACCTTGCTTCTAAGTTCCGGATGGCGTTGAATGAACTTTTCTACCCAATGACGTCCCAATCTTGAGTCGCAGCCTTGCTGTTTCAGAACGGCAACAACGCAGGCGCGGATTTGACTCTGGGACGGAGTGTAACCCAGAGATTCTTGGCGAAGAGTCCATGCAACCAAGTTGGCCTCCTGGTCTCTGGATAGGAGTTTTCCAGGTTGTTCCTGGTCGGTTAATGCCGACTGACCTCGCATTCTGCTGGAAATAGTACTCTGGGGTATCCCCCATTTCTGAGAAGCCTGGCGCTGCGACAGACCGTTATCAGTGACATCGAGGATTGCCTCAGCCATCATGTTCTCTGTATAGATGGAACGAGGCCTTTTTGGAGCCATTTGTGACAGGTGGTGGAGGATGAGCAAGAGTGGAAAGCAAAGGAGGCAGGAGGAGATTAGGGGACGAAATTGCCATTTTGCGATGCCGGGGTGTCACGGGCCACGACACCTATGGTCTTCAGCTGACTTCATAAAATGTAATTTCAGTCATTTCTATACCCGTTACAGGTGACTGTTTGTCAAAAGCTTTAAAATTGAGTAGATTCTGTATAAGTGAAGTTGGTACAATTTGTATGGAGTGGCAACATTTTTGCGGAGCATAAGGGGGGGGTGAGCAGAAGGGGGGGTAAGCATGGTATGACGTCAAAAGGTATCCCCCAGGGGGATGGTATGTGTTAAGGAAAATTTATACTAGCACAACCATTTATGTCCGTCACAGGCAAAGAGGGACATTCGCCACACATTACACTCCCTTGTTGAAGCGCCGTAAAGTGGACCGGGTCCAGCTGGGCGTTACCTCCCACACCACCTGTAACCCTCTGACATCCAGCTTGTTGACATCGCACGACTTGTGCGGTAAACCAATCGCCTGGAAAGCAAAAGAAGACGAAGTATGGTGACGCTTGTGCAGTTGCGAGTAGGACAAACACATAACCGAGTTTGAGCATATTGTGGTTGAATAAGGTTATACACAGCAGCAGAATTTTAGGAAATATAATAAACGGGAGCTTAAAGCCAAGGCTTCAAAGTATAAGGCAGGATTTTTGCTGTAATTGTTGTATTGCTTGAATTTGTTGGAAGTGATGATTCTAAAAGCTGGACGATAGAGGGGAGCGGACTCCTCCTTATATAAACAATTTCGGAATAACCAAGTGACATATACAGTTGTACCTCGTACCATATTGAACCGTGTTGAATGGAAAATACCGAGGTGAAATTCCTGACCTTGTAAGTCATCCCGTTCCGAAGATATTTGATTTCAAAGGTGGTTGGCTGTGTTTGAGGTTGTCGGTCTTCCATTTTGTGTTACTCGTGCCTGCCCCACTTTTCTGGATTCCGGTACGGCAGCCTATAGGGGTCACTGTTGCAAAACCCCTAAAACCGCTTCCGACTAGACGAAACAGGTTAGTGCGGTATGCAGGTTGCCCTCAGTACATTGCGCCATGTACCTCAGTGTATGGGGCCGCAGAGGACCAGTAAAACGCACTTCTACAGACAGCAGTCGCCTGCCAGCCGCACCACCAATGTTATACGGCGAGTCGGCACTGTACATACCACTGGCAAACGCATTGATACGCACAACGTAATAGTCGGACACTAGACTTGACAAAATTACTGGGGGTTTTCCTGGCCGCATTCCAGCGGGCGAGGCCATTGTTTCACTAAAATATTCTTGTTTATGAAATCTGGACGGTACCAAGACGAGTGGAGTGGAGTCGTCTAGCCTCCTACCCTGGATGAAGGGCCGGAAACTGTTGTCGGAATTCACATACATACTACCAGTCGCCTCCACCTTTGGTGGCTGGTGCGACAGAAACATGTAACTTGTCAAGATCAGATGCTCATTCACGGTGCTGCCTACTGCCTAATAGGCAGTCACGACTAGTCAAGCCAGTGTTGCTAATAATATGACAATAAAGTAGTATACTGCAGTATATACAATACAATACGCGATTTCTCATATTGTACCAATACAATATGCTCGCCGTCATATTGTGACGATACAATATAGCGCCTTCCATACTGGCAATATATGGCTTGTATTGTTTGTATTGGTTGGTAGTCATTCGCCTTTCCGTTCCCCAATTCGCGCCAATATGATGACGCGTCAAAAAACACGCGTAAATATAAGCATGTTCTATGTATTGTTTTTCGTCTGGCGGACCTCCAGGACGTAAAAGTTTCCTATTGGCGCACGGAAACGCGTAAATGTATGTATAAATCCAGACCTACAGGGTAGCGGCTCGCCGTCCAAACACTGTTTTCCTCCTCAACCCCGCTTTCCCACCCCAGGACTTACAAGCAATCTCGATGCCTCAACAACGCCTGCCTTTTGTTCAAACATCGCCGCGACGGGATTCGTCAATATCAGACGAATACTCGGAGATTTCCAGCCCACGGTTGCATGATCCAGATGAGACCCAAACCACTGAATGCCAATCGTCGCAACCTCGCACGGCCTCCATAAACCCTTCGGCCAAGCCAAGAACATCATGGGTCTTTTCTCATATGCCAGACGAGGACATAGAGACGAAATACTACAATCAGCGGACCGGAAAAGAAGAATGGCGCTGCAAACACTGTGACAAAACGTATTGCTGTTCCGGTGGAACTGCGGCCCCAGCCAAGCACCTTACGGATCCTCCTCCTGACGGTCACGGCCTCCCAAAAGGCGCGCCACGAACTGCCAAAGTCACGAATATACGAACTATTCTCGAGATAGCTCGTGTTACGGCCAAAGAACATCCCCGAAAACGCCGTCGGCTCAACGATCAATCCGGAGACTCGATCGACCCAGACCAGCTCGAAGCTTTATACGTAAGGTTTATTACGTCCTGTTCTCTCCCATTTAGGCTTGTGGAATGCCCAGAATTCCGAGCATTCTTAGCCTACCTCAACGCCGATATCGATACTTGGCTTCCAGATACACACGAGACCATCAAGAAATGGATTATGCGGCAGTACGAAGGTCAGAAGGAGAAGGTCAAGCAGCGCATCCAGTCAGCAAAGTCAAAAATTCATATCAGCTGCGACCTATGGACTTCCCCCAACTCTTTGGCCATCTTAGGCGTAGTTGCTCATTACGTTGCAGAAGACAGTCAGTTGGAACACCATGTCTTGGCTTTGAAAGACATCGACAGTGAGCACGACGGATATCACCTGGCAAGGGCAATTTTGGAAGTGGTTGATGACTGGGGTTTGCTTCCAACCTTGGATATTTTGTGATGGACAATGCAGGCAATAACGATACAATGATGAGATCTCTTTCCTTGGTAAGTACGGCGCACTGTTTTTCTGACTGGCCCTAACATTTACAGGCCTTCTACGTCGATATGACATTCGATACGATCCCAAATCTCACCGACTCCGCTGCCAAGGTCACATTATCAACCTTGCCGCCAAAGCTTTCCTCTTCGTTACCGATAATGAGAAGCTCAAAGACGACGAACGTGATGGGCATAATGTGACACTAAAAGAGATCGAGGCGTGGCGGAAAAGGGTCCCTTGGCAAGCTCCACAACTTCGTGGTTTTCGTCCAAAGTAGTGTTCAGCGTCGCCAAAAGTTTCTGGCCATCAGCCATAATCGCAAGCTTGCGCGAGATAATGACACGAGGTGGAGTTCGTGGTACACCATGCTACGAGCGGCCTTGCATCTTAGAGGCGCAGTCGAGGATATTTCAACAAATGGGTGGAAGGAGATTGTGCCGGAGACGAGCTCTCTCCCGAGGAGTGGGTCATCCTCGAGAAGATCAAGTCTTTCTTGGAGAAGCTTAAAATGACGACAAAGGCCCTTGAGTCATCGTTTGCAACTCTTGACAATGTTCTCTTGGCTATGGACTTCGTATTGGCGCAATTCGAAGCAGGAAAAGAGGCACATATCGACGATCCGATTATGGCACCAATGTATAACTCGGGCTGGGCGAAGATGGATAAGTACTATTGTCTTACTGACGAATCGCCTGCCTACGTCGCTGCGATTGTGCTTCACCCTTCGCATAAATGGCACTACATACACGAAAACTGGAAGAAGGAGTGGGCTGACTCGTCAAAGAAGCTGATGGAGACACTGTGGGATGATTAAAATACTTCGAACACCCGTTAAGTTGCCAAGGCAAGGGGCTTAACGGCTGAATATCCAGCCCGAAGGGTGAACATCGTATTCCTGCAATTCAACTTTCCTAGGGGGGGACCCCCTAGAACCCCCCTTTCGCCTGCGGCGGCCATCCAGCTGTTTAAACCGCTCCTTGACTGGCCCAATCTAACTATATACCTGTAACGGTCTCAACTGAGTGTGTTGACAACTAGCTGAGCGACTGCGACGAGTATCCTAAAGCTAAGGAGAAAAGAAGAAGAAAAGAAAAGAAAGGAAAGCTCTCGAAGATGGCACGAGCTTATAAGCGGAGCTCCGGTGGGTCTTGTCGAGAGCGGAGCCGAGACCCTCACGGGCTCAGCCCGTTACAATAACCCCTCCTTCCTCCCCGTTTCGATCGTTTCGATTGGGGTGGTTTCGATCCAACTTTCCCATGAACTTCTTCATACCTAGCCAGTGCTATTGTGTCTGCGACGTACTTGACTGGCTCCCACGTCGGACCTATCCATCCGACCCATTTCACCAACACTTTCCACTCTCTCCCGACTTTCTTCCTGTCCAGAATCTCTTCCACTTCCCACAGCTCGCCATCGTCCGTCAAAATGGCCGGTGGGCGGTAGTCATCCGACGTCTGTGACGGTAGCGGATCGTCCGCTGCTAAGCGTAAGAGCGACACGTGGAACACGTTGTGTATTCCCGGAGGCGTGTCCAGCCTGCACGCGTGTGACCCAATGGTCTCCAGGACGGTGTACTTGGCCGACAGCCAATCGAGCTTCTTGGATGGCCGATTGGATCGGATGTTGCGAAGTCGCAGCCATACCTTGTCTCCAGGCTTGAACTGGTCTGACGGCTGTCTTCGCGAATTGGCGTTCTTCTCTTGCTGCTCTTGCGCTGACGCAATTGCCGCCTGGGCCCATTCCGTTGCCTCTCGAAATCGTTGCACAATGCTTTCAGCCCTGGCCACTGGGGACCTTCCGTCCGTCCGTAACTTCTCCTTGACTTGTATCGGGTCAACATGATACCCATGCGTGATAAAGAACGGGCTCAGGCCTGTCGACGTCGAGTTGTGATTGTTGATGGCCATCATGGCCGCTGGCAACAGCTCTTCCCAGTTATCCTGAGCATAAGCAGCAAAGATCCTCAGATATCTCTCGACTTCCTGATTCGCCCTTTCTGTTGCACCGTCAGTCTCGGGATGCCACGCCGTAGACAATCTTTGCTTCACGCGTAGCAGCTCGCAGAGCCTCTGCCATAGTCTACTGGTGAATTGCGTGCCACGGTCAGTGACGATCGCGCGCGGCACGCCATGGTGTTGCACCACGTTCCGTAGCAATGCTCTGGCCGTCGTCTCGGCCGTGATGTCCTTCAATGACTCAAGAACGACACTTTTGGACAGTCTGTCCGTCACGACCATAAGGTTGGTCGAACCGTTCGACTTGGTTGGTGGCAGGTCTGTCACAAAGTCAATTGACAGCTCCGACCAGATCCTGTCTGGAATAGGTAGCGGCTTCAATAAACCGCGACGCTTCTCTCGCCAAATGTTGCTTCGGCCACACACATCACAATTTCTCACAAATTGACGCACGTCTGAATCGAGGCCTGGCCAATAAAACTTGCGGCTCAACAAGGACTTCAGCATGTCCCGTCCGGGGTGTCCTGCAAGCGTTGAGTCATGCGTCTCCTGCATAAGCCGCGTGCGCAGGGGTTCGTGGTTCGGCACCCAAATTCGCTCTCGCCAGCAGAGCCGCTGTCCATCGTCAATCGAGCATTCCGAGAGCATCACGGGCAGTCCCCAATGCGACGGCAGACGCCTCTCGCCTTGCTGTACGGCCTTTCGGATGAGCCAATAACGATTGTGCTTCTTGACACCTTCGTCCCATAACTTCTGCAGTTCCGGGTCCGAGAAAGGGTTTTCGATTGAGTCGTCTTGGTCAGTTGTTGCGTCATCGGGTTGATCCGTGTCGCCCTTGGTGACATAACCGCTCTTGACTTTTGTCACCAGGCCACCCTTGTTACGTTGCAGCAGCTGAACACGTCGTCCTTGCAACCGATCATCTTCGGCGCTGTGCGGCATGTCCTGTTCTCGTCGCGACAGCGTGTCCGGTACGACGGCTTCTTTGCCCGGTCGATGCTTGATGGTGAAGCTGTACCGCGATAGCGTCTCAGCCCATCGCGCCTGACGTTCACTCAGTTGCTGCTTCTTGGTGAAGTAACGGAGGTTGAGATGATCCGTCAAAACGGTAAAGGACTTCACACTCCTCAATTCGGCGTCCCAATGCTCAAGGCAGCGAATGATCGCCAGCAGCTCTTTATCGTGGATTGGGTAGTTGCACTCCGCCGGTGCGTTTTTCTTTGAGAAGAAGGCCACAGGCCGCATGATGCCGTCATCGCCCTTTTGCGAGAGCGCCCCTCCTGTGACATAACCGGATGAATCCGTCTCCACAATCGTCTCTATCCGGATCCCATTGCGCAAGGACCGGCGCACTGGTCAGAAGAGCCTTCAACTCCTCGAAGGCCTTGTCGCACTCCTTCGACCACGCAAACACCGCATCCTTCTTTGTTAACGCCGTTAGAGGCGCGGCGATGTTGGAGAATCTGGGAATGAATTGCCGGTAATAGTTGGCAAACCCCAGAAAACTTCTGACGCCTTTGACAGAACGGGGTCGCTGCCACTGCTGAATTGCCTGCACCTTCTCCGGGTCCACGCGGATACCTTTCCCGGCTTCGACGATGAAGCCCAGGTACTTGACACTCTTTGCCTCAAAGTCACACTTGTCGATATCAATCTGCAGGCCTGCATCTCGCAGTCGAGCAAGGACCTGCCTGACTTTGTTGCGATGATCTGCGAGCGAACCGCTCGAGTAGATCAAGATGTCGTCAATGTAAGCGGAACAGAACTCGTCGAGGAAATCTCGCAACGTGTGGTTTATGTAACGCTGAAACGTTGCGGGAGCACCCGTCAACCCGAACGGCGTGACAAGCCATTCGTAGAGTCCGTAACGTGTTCTGAATGCTGTCTTCCACTCGTCTCCCTCCTCGACGCGAATCTTGTGAAATGCTGCGATAACGTCAAGTTTGGTGAGCCACTTGGGCTTGGACAGCGACCGCAAAGTTTCCTCGATCAACGGCAAGGGATATCGGTCTTTCTTGGTGATCGCATTCAATCCTCGATAGTCCACGCAAAGCGCAGACCACCACCGGGCTTCCTCACGAACAAAACTGGTGCTGACGCTGGAGAACTACTTGCTCGAATGAAACCCTTGTCGAGTAGCTCAGTGAGAGTCTTTCGCAGAACAATGAGCTCTTCTCGTGACATGCCGTACAATGGTCCCCACGGCGGTTCTTTCTCCTTGTCATCAGGACCTCTCTAACTGAATCTTGTGATCACACCCCGGACGACGCGGTGGGAGTTGGTCCGCTTGGTCGCGGTCGAAGACGGATAGGTACTCGTGGTAGTGACGGGGCAGCTTCTCTCTCGGGTCTGACTTCTTCCTCGGAGTCAATGCCTTCTCAATGTCTTTCAGGCTTGCGGCGAAGATCCGCACTCCATCGTCTCGATGCTTGAACTTTCTTGCTCGGCGAACCATTCCGGCGAACACGAACGCCGCCTGTCCTCGTATGTTGCACCGTTCCTCCTCCTTCGGGTCTCGGCCTTTCACCCAATGGTCGTGCGTCCCGATATGCAAGAGGTTCTGCGATAATCGCAAGGTGACATCCTCCTGGTTCAACCACTTCTTGCCCAGAATCACAGGGTCGGTCTGGTCTCGCACAACGTAGAAAAAAGCTCTTTTCTTCTGGTACCCGTCGATATCGAAGTCGAAGTAGGTCACGGCACAGATGGCCTCGGGTGAGAATGTGTTGACCTGCTCCAACGTTCGAGGTTTAATCGGAATACGCGGCAGGTGAAGCTTGCGGGCAAGGCGCTCACTGATGGTCCCATAACACAGGCAACCACAGTCAACGAAGGCCGTGATGAAATACTCTCGATTGATACCGAAATTTACGTAGAGGCCTTCACAGTCCATCTCGTCCTTCTGAGTTGCCCATTCCGCCTCAGCCTTTGCGCGCTCCTGACGGCGATTTTCGTCAGGAGCTACTCGTTTTCCGAATGGTCATCGGAGGTATCCCCGCTAGAACTCTCCGCGGGCTCTTGGTGCTTTGCTCTCGAGCTTCTTGTCTTCTCTTCGACACGGACCTTGACTCTCTGCTGCCGCCGCCTTCCCGGGACACTTGGCCGCAAGATGGCCAAGCTTCCCGCACTCGTAACATTTGCGCTCCTCCAACGGAACAAATTGCTTTTCCTCCGGGGCCCTCCTGCCGTTTATCAACCGATTTGCTTTCACGGGTTCCCAATCCATCTGATCATCGGACGGGGACGACGTGGTTGGCGATCCGGGTGACGGGGGCTTTTGTCGGGACTCGAGCGGTTCGGATAAACGACCATACTCCTTTCTTGACCTCTGCTCGCGGCCTTGTTGTCGTTGGTGGAAATTGAGGCTATCTAGGCGCGAGCCAATCGTCAAGAGTAGCTCGGCGTAGCTGTTGAAATCCTTCGGAGACTGACGGCACTGACGAGACTCGACTTGAGCCTATTATTAATTGCTCCTTCCAAGTAATTGATTTGCACCACGTCGGCCCACTCGCCACCGCCACTATCGGCAAGCTCTTTCTCGAACTTTGGGAAGAAACTGGCGAAACTCTCATCAGGCTTCTGCTTCAACGATCGAAGTCGATCCAGTGCTCGTGCCTTTGCGTTCGGGTCCCCGTACCGACGGTTCAAGTAGTCGAGAAACAGATCTGGGGAGCGAGCACCATCGATACCGCCCTGTTCGTAATAAGCAGCGGCCATGTTCTGGGCTGTTCCCGCCAACCGGGAGTACACATAGGCGAAGAGTGCTTCTTTATTGTCGAATGCCTGTCGGTCCACAGCCAATTTCGCTTTCATCTCTAAGAACCAGGGACGGAAGTTTTCCTGGTTCCATCGAATTTCGGCGGATCAGGCAAGGTTGGTTTTACCCTCTTTGATGGGATTCTTTCGGATGTCTCGATCGATTGAGGCGTGTTGTCGGACATCGGTTCGATAGGAGCGACTGGTTCATTTGCCGGAGTCGGAGTTGAGACGGCTGTTTGGAGGATTCGGATCTGCGATCGCATCTCTTCGCGTTCGGCCTCTTGGCTTGCACACACTTTCTAGTTTGTCCATCACTGCAGCCAGGGCTTGCATCATCGATTGAGGCTCAAAAGAACCTTGCTGGGAATCGATTGCCTCCATGACTGAAGATTTTCTCCTCGTCTCTCAGGACTGAGGGCGACTTGATCACACAGCAAGTCTGATACGGAAGGGATATCTCGACAACGGTCGAACGCTATCAACGCCTCGAAGGCTCCTTCCTACACGGCTGGACGTTCTGCACAGGGCTTCTAGTCCAGCTGCTGCCGTCCACACTGGGAGCCAAGCAGCAATCACGTACTTCTCGCTCAACCGCACGCCGTACGGAGAGCAGATTGACGCTCCACGTCCTTTGCTCGGGAGATGAGAGCTACGCGACGCGAGCCAAGCTGGCTTTGGCGCCGTACACACACGCACTTTCGTCGCGGGCGTTCCACACAGGATTGCCCAAGCTACTGCCACTCCGCGTACCCACAAAGGGAACTGAACAGCGCTGCCAATTGATTGTGATCAAAGGCTTTAACGATGAAAGGAGCTTTAGGATAATGTAACGGTCTCAACTGAGTGTGTTGACAACTAGCTGAGCGACTGCGACGAGTATCCTAAAGCTAAGGAGAAAAGAAGAAGAAAAGAAAAGAAAGGAAAGCTCTCGAAGATGGCACGAGCTTATAAGCGGAGCTCCGGTGGGTCTTGTCGAGAGCGGAGCCGAGACCCTCACGGGCTCAGCCCGTTACAATACCCTATATCGAACCTCCCCCTTCCCTGTAGCTTATAGGAAGACGTCGTTTAGTCAAGGTAGAGTGGTGGATACGGTGCATCGCTCAGCTGTTGACCCTGACGCCGTTGTTGGTCAGCGAGGCGCATCTTCATCCCTGCTTTAGCCTTTGTAGTTAGCCGTAAACGCAGCACGTAGGGAGACAGGCTTATAAACCTTCTGTCGGCGTGTGGTTATAGAGGCTCTGACGATCGAAAGGCGCCTCAAGGAGTAAGCCTTGCAGCGACGTAACCCGTGACACAGCAACATAGCTAATACCGGCCTGGAAGTCGCGTGTAGCGAGATCAGTAACTATTTGCTCCTTCGTTAGGCTCTGGCATTTGTGAACAGTGATAGCAAACGCCACCATCAGGAAACTGCGTGCGAGCGCAGGTCTCGTTGCCCATAAGGAAATCACGCCTGACTGGGAGGATGGGTGAGATTTTCCTGCCCTCGTTAGTTATTAGATATGGCGGTCCATCGTAGCTATCAAAGTCCACCATAATAACGGCCGGGGGTCTTCCATGGTTCGGCGCCTGGGTTCCAGGCGATATCGTATACAGTACCCTGGGCACCGTTAACTAGGCCAGCTGGCTGCCATAGGTTAGTAGTGAGCATTACCCTGGCGCCCTTAGCAACAGGGAACTTGTTAGATAGATTGCCAGCATTGTCGCTTGGTGCCTGCCCCGCGCCCTTGCCCTGATTCTTTGCCTCCACCTGTATTGCCGGGGCGTTGAGATGCACCATATGCTCGTAATTGTATTCGTTGACCCGGGCCCTGGTAGAATACACCCGCAAAGCGGCCCTGAAGCTGTCAACCTCGCTCTGCGTTAGCCTGGACTGTACCCGACTGCTAAGGAGGTTCCAGGACGGTATGGATAACTTGACTTCACGCAGTTCCTGCAACGCCCGACGGAACTGAGCCTGATCATCACCAGCCTGGCGCTGTACCGTGGTCAGGAAGACGGTGCGGTCAAATAACCGGTAGGCCACCTGCCCTCTCCTTTCCAACGAAGACAGGCTGGTGCTAGTCGAATACAGGGGCTTTTGCCGGACTGGTGGTAACTGGAAGAAATCGCCCACAAGCAAGACGCTCACACCACCAAAGAACTCGAGGCTACGCTGTGGAAAGGCCTGTCGCAGACGGGAATCGATCCGCGCGAGCTGCTCAATCCCAGCATGCTCTTTTCATCGATCACGAGGTATTTGACGTGCCGTAGGCGGGACTGAAGGGCGGCTGCGTCGGCTGGGGGAAGGTCGGTAAAAGCACCACCTACTGGGAGGCGTAGCAATGAATGAATGGTGCTGCCCTGTATCTGGTTACTCGCAACGCCTGTTGGCGCTACGCGGCAAATAGGGCTAGGATTCGGTAGAGCGGCCGCCTGAAGATGGGAGGAAAGCACCTTGATAAGGAACGACTTGCCGGTGCCACCACCACCATCAACGTGGAGAAGGATTTGAGTGGGATTTCGCGCCTGGAAGTGGCCCATGAATGTGTCGTACACGAGCCGTTGTTGTGGATTCAGCGTATTACGCCATTGAGGGCCAAGGACCTCCACATCGTTGGCCATGGGGTGGCTAGCGATAAGGTCCTTCCAGTAGCCATCTCGAAGTTCCGGATATGTACCCACATGCCGTGTCCAGTCGTAATTGACGTCGATATCGCGGCGGCCAAGAAGGTCAAGAACTTCCTGGGTAAGGGGTGGTCAGGTAAAGGGCAGCGAGGCGAATCCAGTCTTCGTCATCAAATTCTTCCCCACAGGCAGAGCCTCATATTGATCATCTTGAGGCTGTAATCGAGCCTCTTTTGGCTGGCCGTAATGGTCATCACCATGATTGTGATGCTGCCAACAATAGGAGAAGGCCTGAACGTGGGAACTAAAAGCCTGGCCGTCGAAAGTGAGGAGCTCATCAAGCCGGCGATGTGGGTGATTTAATGTCAGCTTTACACGGCAATAATCTGGCCACTGCTGGCCTTCTGGAGCAGCCTGATAGCGAGGAAAGTAAACCAACACACGGGGCCTGCCGTTAACGTTGCCTGGCCGCCATTGCTTCCATGCGGAAGGGTCTCTAGAGCGGAAATTCCAGTGTTTGAGGAAGGAAACGTAGGTCAGGTCCTTCAGGGCTTCCGGGCGCTGACCGTACTTTTCGTAGACGTTGGGGCCTCGTCAACCTCATCGCCGTCAATGCGTAAGGAGCGGGAATGTCTGTCAGGATGACGGCAGTCAACGTATAGGCAGATTCGTGAGCCCTCCTGTAACGGCAGGCCGAGGAGTAAGTGGCTAACCTCCTGCTTCGAGTAATCCCGTTCAGCAACTAGCTGATTCAGGAGCTTTGACGTGAAAGAAATCAGGGGGTTGTGGTCCTTGACCCGGGGCATCAGCGCCTTCCCAATCTGGGCAAAAGACTCGCTCTTCTTTTCTGACTTGGAGCAGTATTTGGCTGCGTAATCGATCACCTGCTGGAGGCTCGTGCAGGGAGAGACATCTGTATTGGCTAGCCATGCAACGGTAAGCAAGCGGTTGTAGTGGTTAATCTGGCCATCGTTCCTCCCACCCCTAAAGGTCCAGTGCTTGGAGTGAGGCAACTTGTCAAGGGAGGCTAGTAGGCGCTGTCCGTGAGGAAATCCAAATCGGCACTCTACCTGCTTGGTATGCTTATTGCGCTGCATACAGTAGTTGTTGCAGCGGTGGCGTTGCACGCGGTTGACTACCATCGATAGGAACTGAACGGTAAGGGGCTGCTCCAATAGATTGCTGATCAGGGGATTCCCTTCCCCAGGAGCCTGTATTCGATGAGGCTCTGGGTTAACGGCAGATACGTGATATCCCCAGATACGGGCAAATCGCTCCCGGGATCGATTATCGTCAGGATCCAAGTCTGGGTGGCCACTTAACCAATATAGGCCATGGTGGTGACTAGACCCCTGCCCTGCCACTCATAGCGGCCCCAAAGGTCCGTTAGGTTGAACTTCTGCTTCAGGACAATAGTCGTAGAAGCGTATAACGCTTGTAGAAGTGGTAGGCGGCGATGTGGGCGTTGTCTCGCAGTAGTTGCCGGGACAGGACCATGCGCGCCGCCTCAGGAGCTGCTTTCCACTCTTGGAATCGAGGCATGTGACGATATAGTGATTCCCAGTGGTAATCGGCCGCACTTGCAGTAACGAAAAGGCCAGGTCTGCCCAGATTGTAGGCATATGCTTCCAATTCCTTCCTTTGCTTATACCAATACGGCCGGGTGCCCCTGATTACCGCGGCTTGGCGCGTGATCGACTGGATCAGGTCCTGAGCCTCTGGCTCATCAGGCTCAGCCATCGCTTCCTCTAGGTCAGCGCGTGTAAGGGGTTGACGGCGGCTGTCGCGTTGCTTGACGAAGTAGTCACTTCGCTTTCGGACCTGCGCACGTAGCAGCGTGTTGAGGGCGACGAAAGGCCACGTTTTATGGCGGGCAAAACGTCCGTCATGCCATCTCATCGCATGGCCAAGGTAGTCCTGGTACGTGATGCTCCGTAGGCGAGGCTCCACGAAGTCGGCCTTGCCGTCAGGGTAGAGGGTAGGGAACGCAAGCGATAACAGCGGCTGGGAACGGTTGAATTCGTCGATAGGGGTCCTGCGAATGGATGGCAATGGCATCTGGTGGTGAGCCTGCGCGCTATGCGACATATACTCAACATTAGCCATACGCTCAGAGTCAGGGCAACATCAAGGACTCGGGACTGCAGGGCGTTTAATTCGGTATCGGTAACCTGCAAGTTCGGGATCGCTGATGCGTCCGCATCGCAGGATCCTCTTCAAGGCCTCCTCAACAGGGCCTTGTGGGATCTCGCCGTCAGGTATGTCAGCCACTTGGCTAGCAATGGAAGCAACTATGCTGCCGTCAAGAGGAAGCCGTTGCAGGCGATCCTGGCTCACGACGATATCGCGATAGCCCGGGTGGTGGCGCTGTAGGTAATACAGCCAGGTCAACAGGCATGAACGGCGTACCCGGAAATCGCGAGCAAACTGTTGCTGGAAGCGAGGGTCGCCTTCCATATTAGGAGGCCGTAGGAGCACGATATCTAGCTCCTTCGGTAGCACTGGGAGCTCTTCAAATAGCCTACCAATGTTGCGAAGAAAGTGGATAACGTGGCCGCGATATTTGTATTGAGCGCCACGCACTTGTAGGACCTTGACGTGTACGTGAATCCTAGCAATAAGCATCTCCTCAACCATCGTTAGATCGGGTAGATTGCCGGGGACTTCCCCAAAGTCGAGGTTATTCGCAGCGCTGAAGAAGTAGGGCTCGTCGAGGGCTTTCTTCCTGTCTCGACCAATGCAGCGGCTGCAGATTTTCAAGCTATTTCGTTTCATATCGAACCAACGCTCCTGGCAGCGAATGCAACTATGCATCTTGTCGTCATTCAGGGCAGTATAGAACTCTCGCACAAGCGCCTGATCTTCCTTACTAAGGGCGGGCAAGTCAAGGTCACCTGTAAAAGGCGGATCACTACTCTGATCAAACAGCCGCGCTTGAGGCTGTGTGCCTTGACGAGTATAACGGCCGCGGTGATGACCCTGTGACAATAATGAAGGAGTGGTAGGAAGCGATTCCTGTGGTATAGGAGTGCCTTGCACAACAGGAGCTGTAGAAGCAGTGTCTTGAATCGGCGTGCCCAGAACTACTGTTGGCAGGCCAAGGGTAGGAGGAAAAGGGAAGGTCCTCAACAGGGCTTAGAGTAGATGGCCCCAGCGGAGGTATAGGCAGTTCCGGTGCAGGCGCCAGGCCACGGAATAAAACAGGCATGGCAGGAGGTCGTAGGTCAGTCACAGACGCAGGCGTTGGCGCAGTCCGCCTTGGAGGCGTCAGGTTAGCTAGCGAATCCGTCCTCTTCGTGGCTCTGCGTAGCGATGGTCTCGAGGCGATATTCCGCATCGCGGTAACGGCGGCTCGCGATTCGGTTGCCCGTTCTTTTCGGTGTGCCCTACAGCTAGCACACTGTCCTGTAAACTTCGTAGGGTCCTTGACGCTTCGAAATTCGACTTCGGGCAGATCTTGCTTGCAGGTACGACAGTTGCGGACTGCCTCGGGCATATTGTTCTCCATCTGACCGTATATATCCACCTCTTTCCCACCGAGACTGCTAGATATTGCTCGGGCAGGAGGCTTTGCGAGGACTTGCGTGGCTGCAGCAATACACACCCGCAGGTGGTGCCAGGAATGTTGTAGCTAGGTCGGCCGCGGAGCTAAATTTGACCTAGAATCCGTTAGTAACCGATGGGTTCGATAGATTCGACCCACGATGGAAGTGGAAGCGTGTGCTTGGAAACTTGCATTGAAGAAAAGCTCTCGGAAACGGCTAGCTCGTTACCTAGTCAACGCTCAGGGGTTTGCGGCATGGCCTTCATTTGGTGGCGTTGCCAACCGACCACTCCCCGCACGAGTTGAGTACAGGGGAGGCCAATTAGCCAATGAGAAGAGGTTTTATGCCTCTCTTTCTGACTGAATAAACGCCCTTCGGGCTGAATAAACGCCCTTCGGGCTGAATAAACCTGTGGAGCCGCCTTCTCTATCTGAGGTTCCGTTGACGACCACGAACGAGTTCTTGAATTGGAGAAACAAGCACCTACAACCAGCACTTATCACAGACGAGTACGAGCGATATTGTAAGTCTGAACGGGTTTATGGGTTCACAAGCGCCCTCGCATGGTGGCTGGAGGAAACACAGCAAAGAACTACCCATACCTGAGCAAAATGGCGGTGGATATACTGTCAATTCCCGCAATGTCTGCTGAGCCCGAAAGACTCTTCTCTGGGGCAAAAATAACCATCACAGACCGTCGAAATCGACTTGGGAGTGATGTAATTCAGGCATTGGAGTGCTTGAAGTCATGGTTTGGGATACAGGATTTTCAGGGTGACGATATTTCAGCAACGACGGTTGAATAATGAGGGTCACGTGGGATATACGGGATATATTGTTTTACTGGCAATATATTTGGTCACTGGCAATACAATACAATATGGACCAATGCCATATTGCGCAATACAATACGCACCTCTTGACAATACAATAATATTGCGAGGGGTCCATATTGCCAATATACGTATTGTTTATATTATTAGCAACACTGAGTCAAGCTGCTGCCTGCAGGCAGCAGCTGCCCTCAGTCTCCCTATTCATGTATATAAGAGAGATAGATTTCCTTCATTAGATATAAATCAAGAGTCTTTCGTTGCCCGATTCACAGGGGATCTTCTTCCCGATTGCCGCTCAGTCGTCCATACTGCCCGTGCATCTTGTTGTGTGACATAACTGCCTACACTTTACAGGCAGAGAATTTAGATCAGCGATTCCAACTCCCTCGGCCTCAACTATTCCACAGACAGAAACCGGTTGCCGGTATCGTCCACAAGGCACTTGACTACTCCGGTTCCTCATTTGAACTGTTGCTTTCCTCCTCGTCACCGCTTATTCCTTCAATGTCGGTTCCTTCCTCGTCTTCAAAGCCTAGTTCAACCAATGGTTGCTCTGCTGATTGCCCATCTCCAAGCTCTTCTTCTCGGGCTCGATTTGCCCGCTCAAGTAATGCTTGCTATGTACGTTTAGGTCAGTGTACTCACAAACAGATATTGCGCTTACATATTCAGCAACGCCCCCAGTTGGCGCTTTGCGGTACGCCAGTATAGGCTGCCGGCCACTTTCGATGTGTTGAATGATCTTATCCGGAGACCAAGATAGAAACGCTTAAAGGGTCGCAATTTATCCGGGTCCTGGCGACTTCAAGAACGACCTGATCGTAGCCCATTTTAAGGAGCGTCTTGTGGCACCAATCCTTTGTCTCGGGCTCCAAGCACGTGCTAATGTCAATGTCCACCAACGGTCGCCCCATTTCGTGTAGAACTGAGCGATCAATGGGGATGCCCCAATTGCATGCCTTATCCGGGTCGGGGTAATGGTAATTCATCCAGGGCTGGCCGTGGACCACATGGGGACGGTTCTTTTGAAGGCGTATTCGATGAAGATTCCATGCCTCCACAAAGTCGAAGAGCTCTTGACGTAATATATCTTCGAAGACGGCGTAGATGGCAATCTGATCCTCCAGCATGTCGCCGTCGAAGTCCCCGTCCCTTGCGAGCTCCCCAAAATAGTCTACCCACTGCCGAGAGGAGACATGGAGCATACGCTCCCACCAACTCTCAATCTTGACGTTCTTCGTACTCGGGGCTGCCTTATACGAATCCTTCAATCTCCTACCTTGCTGGAAGACTTGCTCATGCCATTCCACACGTCCGTCTGTGGTCAAAACAAAGTTCAATGGGCTGCTGCAACCAACGGCGTTTCGCTCCCCTGTCCGCTTGCAAGTACCATGGCCGGAAGCCATAGGCGTCACATGCCGCCAGGTACTGCTTCAGTACGCTCAAGGCAGTTGTGGCAGAGTGCCCAAGGTAGAACCAGATAATGTTGCGCGAGTAGGCGTCGATGGCCGCGTATATCTCGAATCCGTACACCCTGAGCTTCTCGTGGCCATCAATGCACCACTGGTAGTTCGGGCCTGGGACAAGAAACTGTCCTTTCTTTCTCGAAACATCCTCTTTCTGAGCTCGACCTCATTCGGAACATGATCTTGTACATCTCGAAGAGAGGATCTCTTGGTACCCAGAGCTGCTTTTGCTGACGGAGATAAGGTTGCAGAAGGTTTCTGCCGTATCCCGAAATGGCATTAGAGCGTCGCGTTATGTCGATGATGGCTTGTTCGGTTTTTTCCAACAATGCCAGGCGCTCCTCATCGCTATTGAGTCTGCGCACCCAACGGCGGTCCGGGTGAAGCCTGATGCGTTTCAGGCCTCGCTTCGTGATCTGCCAGCCCCGTCTCTGTAGAACACTTAGGGTTTGCTTTTCGTTAAGGCCAACGCGAAAGATCAGATCACGGGTGGCCTCTATCAATTCCGGAGTTTCTCTGGTACGGGATTGCTGGCGCGGGAGACCCCACCTGGCGATTCGGCGGGAGATTGTACTCAGATCGACGGCGACGTGGTAACGCTTCCGAAGTTTATACTTAATTCTGCTTCGCGAAACACCGTTAAGGTAGAGGAAACTGACATAGTCACGATATTGATCGATCGGGTTAGGTGGCCTTGCCATTGCGTTTGGTGGAAGTTGAAAGTGGAGAAAATTTTCGTAGAAAGCGGCCAAGTACTGGTGGGGGGGGTCTACACTTGGCCCGCACCGGCCTAGCGTCAGGGGCTGCTGCCACCGAACCAGGGATAGGATCAATACTGCTCGTTCGGGAAGGTATTACTCCTGAGAGTGCCGCCAGTGAATTAGGATAATTTTCCTTTCGTAGTACAACAATATTGACAGAGACTGTTCTTTCAATTTTAGTTCTTTATTTCCTCCCACCCGATCCCGTCCCGCGTCACACGAGGCATTAAAGGCCCTGGGAATGAATGTGCCCAAGTTAAATTTCGTCAAAGTGTATACCTGTTTCGCTTACGCGCAAGGAACAGTACTGGCGCTGCGTGTTGGGACTGCGCAAAGGGTGAAGGATTTTCTGCCTGCTAAGAGTGACGAGCCATTGATCAATTTGAATCTGTAGGTCTCTCTATGATGCTGTACGTGTCTTTAGGGCTGAATCGGCACCTTACCTGGCGTACTGCTGCGCATCACAACAACTACGAGCTTGCTGCCGCTCCAGGACCAGCTCCCGTGTCGAATGGATCATCCAGCCAAAAGTGAGATGCACATCCCAACAGCACTTCTGCTAGAATAACTGATATGGCCTGTCGCTGATTGCAACATCCCGCTTGGCCTCTTTCGACGAGACAGCTGAGATGAGCCCTGGGAAGCGAAAGACCATGGCGCTGGACCATCGCCGCCTCCGGAGGGTAGTGAACGGACTCAAGGAGCGTCAACGTGCGGGCCCGCTGCTAGTCCGCGGTACATTTTCCACACCAACCCGAGGTACTCATATGACCGGGGCCAGGGGAGCCTAGACCCAAAAGGGAGTTTTGCAACAGTGTCCCCTATCGTCCTCCGTAGCAGCGGTTGAACTACGATCGTGTCCCGGGTGACTCCTTCACAGGGTGGTTTTCCATATATGGAAAGGTGTGCAATCCATACTGGAGTATCGTCCCACATTTATTGCAAGTATTGCAATACACCTTTCCATTCTTGGTCCGTGCGCATCCCGCAACAGCTCACCTATATGGTCTCGGCAAAACGTGCCAAACACGACATGAATCAATGAAAAATCAAGGAAAAGTTAACGTGAACGTAATGACAGACGACCGGTCAAGGGGATGCCAAGCAGAAATTTGCTCCTTTTGCAGGAAACAGGCGTAGAAGTTGTGCCAGGATTTTACCCAAAAT